TCCAAAACTACAGTTAACCTTAAACGAAACGAAAGGGAAGGTTAACAATTGGCTATTCCAAAAATATTTCAATTGCAAAGTTGTAATTTAAGAAAAAGCCTTACGACTAACTTGTGTCATAAGACAAAATAATCTACTTAATACATTTCTTAACTGTGCACAGTCATAAGACATATAACTAATAATCTATTTAAATAGAGCTGTACGGTTGACCAGAAACATCCATATAAAGTTTGCTATCTTTTCAACAATGTTTGGCTTACTTATAATATATTTTCATAACTAAATATATCTCATCATCTATTAAATTAGAACTGTACGGTTGACCAGAAACATCCATATAAACATTTTTAAGCGTATAATAAATAACATCTTATTTACAACATCAAACTATAAACATACATATATACAAACTAACACAGTCTGGTTGACCAAAGCAACCATATAAACACTAACCGGCATATAATAAATAGCACGTTCAATATTTCAAGACAATTTTTCACTAATTCGTAATATTAATAATCGAATTTCTTACAGACAATGCGTTTTTACAGTATAACCCTAATTTATAAAGAGCAGTCTTATTTTCTGTTTGTAACAATTCTAAAAACTTATATACACTTGGTTTGATATAATAATATTTTGCTATAAATTTTTTACGTAAATCTGAATAGATAGGGCATATAATAACAAAGTGGTATTCATCTTCTAAATCTAGTGAATGGCAACATTGACAATATCTTTCGTTTCTAGGTAATCTATTTCTGGCAAACCTTCCAGTTTGAATTCTTAGAGCATGTGCTGAAATTCTTAATCTAGTGATGTAACATCTTAATGAACTAGGTAAAATATCTAAATATGCTTCGTATCCAAAACATTTTTAAAGTTTTTATACAAATCTAACACTTCGCTTCTTTCCTTATTTACATTCCATCCTTGTATAAAACAATCTATCACTCTCTCCTTAAATATATATACAAAATTTTTATCAATATCGCATGGATTGTCCCAAACATATGTAAATCCGAAGTCACATAATAGAGCTTTAACATTGGTCACCCAGTTTTTAAAACCTTTGTTACAATGTTCCAATGACATTACATAAACACGATTTAATATAATATTGTCACTATTTATTAATCTTAACCAATATTTTATCATGGCTACATAACGCTTAATATACAATGGGTATCTGCCCAATTCACCGTACACACCAACAGAACAAGTACTATTTCTAACCTTTAATAAATGTTTGCAAAATTTCAGATGGATTCGTTCAATAACTTTTGACTTTGTATAACCCCAAATTTCTGCTGCGTAGTTTAATATCGAACCAACAAATGCATCGAATAATTGACATAAAACTTTAGGCCTTAACTTAATCTTTTTACAATTAATAATTAATAAATTCAATGCCTTAAGAGCCTTTCCAGTGAGATATTCCTGATTTAGCGTAAATTTCCAGTATAATGAAAAACAGTTCCTAAAATAGTTAAAATCGTTCACTGCCTCTAGTTGTTTCCCATTATATGTCCAATGTTCATTTAACAATAAACCCCCTCTTTTTCTAAATACCATAATTTTAGTTTTTTCAGTATTAACTTCTAATCCCCATTTACTACAATAATCATACAATAGGTTTAAATTTTTCTGCAATTCCTCCTTTGACTTTCCTAAAATTACCATATCATCTGCAAATAATAACAAAATTAATACAATATCATCAATGACTAAACCAGAATCTACATCATCTTGCAAAAAAAGCTCTAAATCTTCTACGAAAAGTGAGAACAAATCGGTGACATTATCTCCCCTTGTTTCAATCCTACAGCATACTCAAAATATTCCGAATAGTTATTACAATTTCTAACACATGACTTAACCTTTTGATACATGTCCCTCACTATTCTTAACAATTTACCCTGAATTCCATTATTATAGAGCTTTAACCATAGTGCACTTCTGTATATAGTATCAAAACATTTTTTCATATCAACAAATACACAATATAATCTCTTATTTTCATTTAAATACTGTTGTACAACATTAAGTAATATAAATAAAGCATCAGTCGTAGATCGGCCTTTCCTAAAACCAAATTGTGCATCTGATATAATATTATTTTGTTCACAAAATGTTACAATTCTTTTATTCAAAATAGTGGTGAATAATTTCGAAAAACAACTAACGAGCGTAATACCTCTGTAGTTATTCACGTCATTAATGTCGCCCTTTTTATGTAAAGGGACGATAACTCCTTCGGTCCATTTTTCCGGAAAATAACCAGAATCTAAGATGGCATTAAAAATATCACAAACATGTGAAGATAAAATATCAATGCTTTCTATAATGTATTCATTCATAATATAATCACTACCCATAGCCTTTTCTCTTTTTAAACATTTTACACATTCTAAAATTTCTGCAACAGTAATGCGCTGATTTAATTGATCGAAATCGGCATTTGAAATATTAAAGTCATATCCGCTACAAAACTCTTCAGCTTCCGGGTTTGTGCATTGCGTAATATCATTGGCCAACTCCGAAAAATAACGTTTGAAATCGTCCGTAGAAATGTTATGTTTATTTTTGTTATTACGCTTAAAATATTTCCAAAATTGTTTAGGCTGTGCATTTTTTAATTTGCCGATTTCTATCAACTTTTTATTTTCAGCCGACTTACGTTTTTTATTACATAACTCTTTATAATCTTTTTTCAAAACACAAAATTGTTCTCTACTATAACTAGATTTAAGCCTATTAAAAACACTTAACGCTTCTAGGTATCTCCTTCTAGCAAGTATACAATCATAATCGAACCACTCTGCATGATTAACTATCGGTTTATCAGTAAAATACGATGACTTATTGTTAAAATTACATGACTTTGAGAACAATGGGTCCGCTACATCTCTAACAATATTTGTAAATTTGCTCAAAATATCGTTCACTGAATCCCTGCTTGTGATGTTAATATCATGTGTCAATCGATTTAACTCAGGTAATTTAGATATAACTCCTGCTCGAAAAGTATGTTTAAGATTCTCCTTCCATTTGTACCTGACCTCATTTTTTACCTCAGAGACATCAACATAAAAATTACATCTCAATGTAAACAAAACAGGTGCATGATCGCTATATTCATTGAATGAGTCTATATACTAAAATCACACAATAGGGGAAAGTCTTTATCTCTCGCCAACAATAGGTCAATCACGGACGCACCGTTTTTGTTAGCAAATGTGTACATACCACAGTTAAAATCATGGCCAATTCTACCGTTACAAATACGGAAACCGCTAGACCGACAAAGATCAAGTAATTTAGTCCCAAACTGTTACATATATTATCATGTGAGGCCCGGAATAGGTACGTGTCGGGAACATAATCATCATCATCAATATTACTAATATAAGTATCACAAGTTATATAGTCATTTTTTTTTACCCACTCTACTATTCCAATCACCTACTAAGTATAAATGCCCTAAATCTTCAAAATCGTGTATATCATTTTGTAAAATATCAAATAAATCAACATTAGCAATATTATACATTGGCGAATCTTCACACCATATATAAACTCCACAAACATATACATCTTTTTCAAAATGAAAATATCTATGATCTAGTTTTAACCAGACTAAAGTGTCAAAATGAGTCCTGACGATTTCGATTCCCGGTGCTAAATGATTCTTGTAATACACTACGACGCCCCCGCTACACCGTCTTGCATTGCGATTTTGACATTTTCTATAAAAGTTATGTGCAGTGTAGCCTGAAAGTTCCACATCACTATCCTTGTTTAACGAGCGTGTAAGTAACAACAAGTCAAACAATGTTAACAGACTAAAGTTTTTCATTTTAATTTGTTAAGTAATCTTTTGCTACAACTGCGGTTTGTAAGTGCATAACATAAAAGTACCCGGTTATTTAATGTAGCACTTTGTATGTAATAATGTTTAAGATATTGTCATCGTTTCATTAATTTCTTCGGCGTTGTAATAGATGTTTAACTACTTACTGTGACCATAATGTTTTGTTTTATAAATTTGTTATAAATGTTGTTGCTTTTTCTATATTATTGTATTGTATTTTTTCTTTCTATATAAGGAGTCTTTATCTTAAATTTAAAGTGACATTATGCTCATTTTTCCATTGTAATGTACTGCTGTATTGACTATATGTTTTAAAAAATTGACTGTTATAATGGTGAATGACCAACGGCTGATATTCAAAAAATGTTTAAGATAAAATGTAAATATTGCTTAAATATAAACAGACTGTCCCACTTTTGTTATTAATTACATTACAGGTAAATGTTGATAGATAGAAAGTTTTGAGGCCATGTGATTTATTAATCAATAATGTAAAGTGAATTATTATATTGAAAAGTATTATGGCAAAATTAAAATAAATTTGAATTTCAACTGTTCACTCACTATATACCCTTTGATGGACATAATGACACGTTCACTCTAATAATCATTGAATACTGTTCCTGTTGTAACGACAATGTGTTGTATTTCAAATACATATACCTTCAACGACACATTATGCCGGAGACATAAACCTTTTTTGTTTCTGAAAAAAGTCATACATGAATTTCATAATGCTTTTATGATGGTTTTAGAGAATGTTTGAAACATGCAACCTGCATAAAGTAGCGCTTAATCTGCAATAATTTGTCATAAAAGTAGCATAATGTAAACAAAGTAGTATTTTGTGTGTCTTACAAATTACAAATCCACTATAACTCTACTTATTGCCAGAAAGCAACAGATGAAAAAGATGGTTCAGGTTGTTTGCTAATAAGTATCTTTTTTGATACTTGATACTTTGATACACCAAAATTTAAAATCTTTTGAGAATTAAAAATAAAAGCTTTTCTAAGGCATAATGGAAATTTAATGGACAAACATGAATAAAGTTCGAACATTAAAATACAATTTCTTTACGCTTTGTCAAGGTTGTCGGACATAAAAATAACAACAAGTACACATATTTTATGAAATTTATTCTAATATAATTATATACATTATTCTATCAACAAATATCTTTTTATCATATAAAAAATGGATCAAGTATATTAGGTTTAATTTAGAAACAATCAAAATATTGCAAATGTATGATATTTTATGAATAATTAAAATATGAAGTCAGTTTTAATCGGAACATAATATAACGGACTACCAACTACCATCTATGTTGGTCTTATGTAAGCGTTCAATTGACAAACGATCGAGCGAAAAGCGAAGTGATAAAAATAAGAATAATATAATTGCTATCAGCATATATTGCTATCAGCATTTACTGGCATATTTGCTAAACAACAACACTAAAGAATACGTTGGGGGTTTTCCAAGCTAATCTGGGGTACAAACAAACTTTAACCGTTATGGCTTCACAGTGCACTTCCGGTCACTATAGATAAGTCAACATGTTGTACTTTATTTCGAGGTTGTAACTGTTAAAGTTTGTTTGGACCCCAAAATTAACTGGGACAAACTCTATCATGGAGTAAATGTATTCCATGTAACAACAAGATTGTTAAAGTGTTACGCTAGATCGATTAAAGTCTAGTGCTAGTTTATTGATACCAATTACAGAGGTCAACAAAAAGTACATGTTCACACACTGATGAACATGGTACAAACAGCATGTGTCTTGGACCAAGTATGCGACAACAATATTTTGTTAGGTGGTCCGTTATTTTATGTCAAAAGCAAAAAGAATGTTCCTTACGATTTCAGCTGTTTTATATATAAGAAAATCATATAATAGCACGTTATGCCTAAGAAATCCATTTCTTTTAAATTCTTTAGAAACGTCAAACGCGTGTTAAACAATGTTTTAATTATGAATCTAGAGTTTAAGAGCATCTTAGATGTTTAACAACTGGAGAAAGTAGTACTGAATGTGCACTAACGTGTAGTTCGAGGAGCAACAACTAAACGAGGAAGTATTTTGACTTTTATAAAAAAAAACTAATTCAGTTTAATTATACGAATAACCAATAGAGATACCAAAATTCAGAAGGATTTTGAGAAATAAAGTTATGTATTTCTTAGGCATAATGGGCTCTTAAAAGTTGCACAGATACTATTCATTCAATTGTGTCTCATAATTTACTATTTCTTATAAGTTCAAGTAAATATTTTCTTGTATAAATGTTTGTATATTTTAGATAAATCAAATTTAAATATTATAATAAAACTATTCTTTTCATTTGTTCCTTATTTGCTTTTATATCGTTATGGCAAAGTTCGTTCTGATTCAAAAGAATCCCTGACACAAAATGAATATTTAACGTTTGAGCGAGATTCTTTATAAAAGATAATAGTCTTTTAAGTACAATCTAATTGCAAAATATGAAACACGTCCAGGGCCACTGACACCGCCTTTACCAGAACGTAAACCGAAATCAGATATAAAATAAATAGATGTATATTTTTTGGTCATATTCTTATCAAATAAATTATTTCCAATAAAAAATAAATAAAAAGCAGTGAATTCAAATTGTTATAGTAGCGTGTTTTACTTTATTTAACATAATATAACTGATGACGAATTACAATTATTAAAAGACGCTGATACATGCACATAAATACATACAATTCTTTGAACTACTTTTGAATGTTTACACTATTTCACCCGGATTGGTTTCAGGTCATCAAAATACCACTGATAACTTTTTTTAAAAATATTCTATTCCAAATTAATATGAAAAACAAAATCAGAAACGATGGGCGCCGTTCAATAAAAGCAACCCTCACACGACCCAACAACACAGGACCATTGGCAAGGAGCCCAGTAGGACAGCCTTAGTATTCTTATCTTTTCAATACTATCTACAGAAAATCAATCGATAACATAGTCAATGTTTAATGCTTTGTTCTTTTTAAAAACGTATAGACATAAAAACAGAAATAAAATCATCTAAACTGTGAAAAATAGGGTACGCACACAAAAAAAACACAACTTATATTTTCGAACTCTGATTACATGACACACAAGTAGTATTAAAAAAAAAACAACAGTAATTATAATAAAAACATTTATGGCTTTCACTTATTGAAAAATGTTATTGAATAACAAAATTGCATGTAATGCTGATAGAGTTTGATAATAAAATTACTAGCCAAATGTTGCTGCAATCATTTTCATTCAAAGCTTGCTGAAGTGCTAAAAGCGAGAATTTATACCGATATACCACTGTCTTGTTGAAATATCATCAAATATTTAAAAAAGAAAAAAAAAAGAAAAAAAACAACCGAAGCAATGTATGGTGAAATGTTTATTTGAGATTGTGGCATAACCTCAACTGTAATCGCTCGTACTGATAAAAGATCAAACTACCATATGCTGTCAACGGTGATCAAATATGTATTAAAGAAAGGAAAAAGTTTGTTTGCAGCAATCAGCAATCAGCAACTCATCATCGTGTTTTCTTACTCGATGAATTTCGAAGTTGAAACTAGTTTGTTGTGTGAAATGTTATCATTTTATACCAATGTAAGATGTAACGATGTTGGATTTTGATGATCTCATAGGTGTCGATGTTTTACAACACGTGTTTATATCTTATATACTTCGTTGACAACACTGAAAATAAAACAATATAACACTAGATAAATATATAGAACATACTATAGCTTCAAATATCCCATATATGTTTTGGTCAAAGGGCCTCAAAAAAGTCTTTCTTTTTATAAAGGGCAAACATGTGATTTCGTAATTATTTTAGAGGATGTTGCATGCTTATCACCTGAAGTGCTAAATATAAGCTTATTTGTCATAAAGGTAACACTTTTTTAAATGAAAACCAAGTTCAATTAGTTGTATTTGGACTTCAATACAAAATAATAAATCATTCTTCTTCTTCTTCTTCCAATGCTGTACATAACCCACTCTGGGGCATTGACGTATTATAACTTAACTAAGTGCTTAAAAACAACAGAGCAAAAGATGAGTTAGTTAAATGGCCAATTAAATTTTTCTTTGGAATTCATAACAATGCATCAAAATATAAAGCCTTTGAGAAATATATATAAACACACTTCGTAACATTCATATAAACTTTTCCCTCGTAAGTTATTAAACGGACAAGAACTTTTCAATATTAGTATTCCTTTTTACAAAACGATTTTCCATTGTAACGGGTGTTGATTCTTGCGCATGCACATTCTGCATAGGGCAAACACCCAATTACAATGCCTGCAATTTATCATACTTAAAGGCTTAAAAGTGCCATTGCCTATTGACTTAAAAACCAAAAGAGGTTCTTTACTGATCAGTTTCCTCCCGAACTTTAACGGAATGACATTTAATAGTTATCAAGTTAATTTGGCGGACAGCGATGTGACTAGCAAACTGATGGACTTAAAGCTATGATGATAAATATGGCAATCATGATTTTTAAAACTGCGTGTTTTTATTACTTTACTTTACACGTGCTTGTTTACCTTTTAATAGCCTTGATCATGAAGCCAAGTCTCTATCACTGGGACGTTTGCATTCATCCAGTTAATATTGCTCTTAGTCTTCTCGAGAGCTTGAGCAAAAGCACGTGCACCGGATCCTAAGTCCTGTTTACTGTTCACAAACTCTGTCAACTTTAAACAATAGTAAATAAAATAAACATAATATATTGCACTGCATGTATAATCATGTATAATCATTAATTTTACATTTATTTCAAATTGCAATTCAAAAAAGTATATGTATATTGAAATAATTAAATACCGAAACAGTTTTGCTCTAAATGGTGAATCAATTTTTAAATTATTTTTCAACTAATTCAGATACAAAAGTAAACCTTCCTATGAGATATGCATAACACTATTAAATACAAAAGAAACAACAGTATACAACATAGTTGATTTTGAAATAGTATAATTATGGAATGAAATTTATCAATATATTTGAATACTTACATTCAATTTAATGCAAGAATGTAATATGTTATTGCCTACTTATAAGTAAAGAAAAAAATACTCAACGCAATATCTTAAATGTCACCAAGAAAGCTACATAAACAAACCTAATTAAGCCTTCGTTATATATATTGCAAACATGTAAAGTAAAATTCAACACTGGTAAGTAAAGAAAGAAGAATGTTATTACAAAATCAATATTTTTAAATTCCATCAACAACGCTACATCAACATATTTGAACATTTACGTTATATAAAATGTAAAAAAAAATATACTTTACTGAAATTTTATATAAGAAATAATTGATAATTGCTCCACAGTCCCCTTACAAATATAAAACAAGCATATTTTGACTTCAAACAAATTAGATATGCTATGTTTTAAACTCAAGACACTATAGGTAGTCTTAATATGAATATAAAGTGTCACATTTTTTATGTTTAATTTTTACTTGACCGAAGCTACCCATACATAGATTTTTCATTCTCTTATTCATATTAGACATATGCAGGAAGAATTTCAAAGATTTCAATAAAATTTCTGCGATAAAAATATTTTACCAGAAATGTTTTGCACCACCGGAAATTTGGCAAACTTCTCTATCATTTATACTTGCCCTAAACGCTTAAAAACCATTTCTTACGATATATTTAAGAAATATTAGAGATAATTGAATTCAATTTATGCTATTTTTTTCTTATCAAAAATGTTATTTTTTTAATTGTCCGGGCGGATTTGCATATTCCGCCTGGACAAATGACATCCGCCCGAAAAAAAATCAAATTCCAGTGGGAATATTTTCCAATTGGAATTTCATATTTTTCTGAAATCGTAGAAATACATAAGCATATGCTTGAAATGTACCTGTATGCTTTTTTTATGAAATAGCGTCAATTTAAAGATCCTATATGTTTTGTGATTGATATAGTACCTGTGTGTATACCACTCTTACAATAAACTATATATGTATTTAATTATGCAAAGAAAACAAGTTTCAAACATCGCAGAATATATAAAATATATACTGCAAATATGTGTGCACATTACATGTAATCAATAAATTATATGCATTCATTTCTTATTGGAAAATTTAACTAAGAATTAACATTCTAATTACCTCACTTTATTTATATGAAATGTTAAATTCGGTAATATCTTTATAAATAATGCTTATTGGAACTTACAATATTGACAAATCTTATTTTGAGCATCATATTTATGAAATAAAACCATAAAAATTGTGTTACAGGATCTTTAAGGATGAGTATATTAAAGTTTAAAATTTCTCTTTGAAAGGTAATGATGAAAGTATACTATCACTAGCATTGTAAATTTCATCAATAACTACAACAACATATTTAAATACTTAGGTTAAATAAAAATGTAAAAGAAATGAAAAATAAATTAAGCACGTGTTAATAAAAAAGACAATGAAAAACACTGAAAGATTCCTGTATGAAATAAAATGTCAAGATACAATGTTCATGCATGTGCAAGCTAAATGTTAATTTGTAACCATGAAAGCATATAAACTACATAAGTGAAGGCTAAAAATGTTAATATATAAGTAATAAAGCATATAAACGACATATAAAGTAAAAGCTAAAAATGATAATATGTAAGCATAAGAGCATATATACTATATATTTTAGTGAAAGCTAAAAATGTTAATATGTAATTATGAATGAATACGAAGGCTATACACTGCACTACTGAATTGATAAACCATAAAAGGAGATGAAAGCAAAGATACGAAAATAGAATTTAGATAAAAAAATAGAATTAAAGGATTTTGGGACAAGATAAACGGAAATCAAACTTCATTAAAAAAAGATTACTGTTTTGTACAAACATTCAGGCTTACATGCGTAAACTGAAACAGGTTTTTTCATCTTTTCTTTGAAAAAGGCATTCACCTATAAAAACTCAGTCTAAAAATACGAATAACCAGTATTCACCTCGACATGTTCTTGAAGTAAGGCCTCACTTGAAATACTCACTTGATGTTCCAGGGGGTTCCATAGTTTTTCATGTTTGATAATTATTTAAGTTTAATTCCTTTCTTATGATTATTTACTGCAGTTGCTTCTCACCCCACCCATTTAAGTCATTGGCAATTTTTTAAAAACAAATATATTTTAACATTTAATAAAGATAATATCACAATCAACCATAAGTTTTCAGTAAATCAATTATCATAACCAAGTATGAAGATATATACAGATTTTGTTTGTTAGCCGAACAATATACCGGAATAAAATCAAAACGAAAGCATTAAAAGTCGTCCGACACAAGTTAAAATTGTTGAAAATGGTCCGGGTCCGATATAACGATGCCAAATCCCAAAACCCCATCCCCGCCCCTTAAGATCAGCTCAACAAACATTCAACGTTTTAGCAAACATCTTATAATTATTGACATTATTGATTTCTGTGGCTATTTGTTACCAATTTATTTTCATTCTTAGATATTTCTGAAGATAGACCTAGGTATTTCAACATTAATGGATGCAAACACTCAATTTATATCACGAATTACCGAAATATTACGACCTCCCCATGCTGTTATTTATGTTTAAGATCAAAACTGAAAACAAACATAGAGGATTACCAAACACATCTATTCATACATATTAGTTAATATCAAAATTGTCCATCTTATTTCTAATAAGGTTTTGACCTTCTGTTTACTTATCAATACACTAAAGAAAAAAAAACAATAATTCTATTGAATTTGAGATTGCCAATACTCGGCATAACGTCATTCGAAAAATTTTTTTTGACGTATCACAGAATTCACTTCTAAGTAATTTAAGAAATTACTCAAAATACGTATCTTTTAAAATCTTTAACAGAATTGTAAAAAAATATCAAAAGTAGAAATGTGTTTATTATTTGTTTGTTGCTTTTTTATTATAATGGTTGTTGGTGTTGTTGCTTAAGGTATACATACATTAAAGAAACATAAGTGTTCGTTTCTAAAAATTAAATATATTTGATGAGTTAATTTAGCATTCTCTGTGGTTTCAAACTATGGTAACATAAGTCACACTTCATATGCGCATGCCTGTCGATTCAAACTATGTTTACCTCTTTTTGCTTAATTTCTGTGGAAAATGTTTTACAAACTGCTTTTATAAGTCGTGCAAGTTTGGTAAAACTCCGCCCAAATCTGTACAAAGAAGAGATAAAATATAACTCCGCCCAAATCTATACAAAAAAGAGATAAAATGTATCTCTGCCAAAATCTGTACAAACAAAAGATAAAATATAACTCCGCCCAAATCTATACAAAGAAGAGATTAAATGTAACTCCGCCCAAATATGTACAAAGAGGGAAAAAATAATAATTCAAACCCCTTAAATAGATGAAACATTGAGCTAATACTGACATTTTGAACCTCATTACACTTTAGTTGATGGCCAGTTTCCGTACATGCAACAATATCAACATGGCATGCGCATGCGCGACAAACGAGAAGACCACAACATTTCAAAACTGACATTATAAAAATATCAAAAAGAAAAGATAAGCAAACAATATTTCATTCTTACAATACTGAATTTACCTCATTTAACAAAGCAGTTGTTTCAAAGGAACCGGTAAGGGACGAGATCTTTTTGGCAAAGTAGCTAAATTGTCTATGCCTACAATGCGAAAAAGTATTACATAGTGATATGACTTTTCATAAAATAGAAAAAAACCGGAACCCTTTAACAACGTCAAAAACGACACAATTGAAAATGTTGCATGCTCAGTTTGATTAAACCTGTTCATGGACGGTACTCGAAAAGGCAAATTATAGTCTAAGCCCGTAGCATCGGCTAAAGCAGAATTCAACATTTTGATATTTGTCTTATTTATTAAAAATGCCTGTTTAATGACATTCAGTATAAATGTTAGCTTTGAACTTTTTCCATATTACAGATAAATGTTAGACTTTCAATTTCATATAATAATTATGTTTAATTTCATAATATTACAACAAACTAATATCGCATATAGATGCAATTCACACGTATTCTGTACCCAATACATTGTATATCGTTTCAAATGACTCCATTTAAATTAGCTCTTTTAAAACCAAAATCCTTAAACCACACAATTTGAAATTCGTACATAAATTATCTGTTGCATTTAAAATGGAAAGATATTCAAAAGACAATTAAGAAACTATAAAAGTTAAAAATCGATTTTTATTGAGTTTCACTGTCAAATTTGAATAAATAGCATTGCAATATGTTTTTCTTTTTCGGTTTTGGGCAATTTTTGACAACCATATTATTATATTGAGAATTCTTGTGAATGCTTTGAAGTTGTGCGAACAAAAACCTTTACCTAAACCAACATCAAATGGCACACTTATCTCATAAAGATTTTTTTTCTCCAAGTACACCAGTGAAGTCCCTGTGTAACTTTGGGCAAAATATACATGCACATGTCTTGTAAGGTAGTAACTTCTTGTTTGCAACACTCTAACGTAATCATTATTTTTTCAATCTAGAAATTACTTTTGAAACATGGAAACAAATGTTCTGCCTCATATAAACAGTAAATAAGTATGAAGTAAGTGAAGGAACACCAAATGAGCAGAAAAATGTGTACTGGCACTGAAGCATAGCTTTACGCTTTGTTCTTGGTGTTCTTTGATTTAAACAACGAAAAGTTCACATTGTCATTTTCATTTAAGAGCAATGGTCGATTTTACAAGCGATACGTTGTTATATAAAGATATTAGTCATCCCAAAATAGAACATGAACGTGACCAATTCATGCGGTTATCCAGCCGTTAAATTTAGAAACCGAACCGCTTTCAAAATTGTGAAAACTCGCCGATGATTGTCTGAAAACTCCCAAGGAGTTGACAACTTAAATAGTGGTCATCAGATCCGTATGTGAAGATCTCTTTAAGAGGTGATTTTAATCTGATTGCTTATCATCCAGTTAGACAGCCGTTTTGACACACGTTCAATTAGAATCCTTCCTTATGTGTTAAGTTAGTAGCTACTTCAACATTAAATGATGGAATAAAATTATTCTGGATTGAAACATAAATCATCAATTTCGATTAAACATTTTAATGTTATGACCATCTAAATGGGATGACAGTGTCTTGTCCTAAAGATTTACGTCATTGTTTTAATACAAGATCATGTTGATAAAAATCCTTAAACATTCACTTGGAATTTACAAGCTATATAAATTAATGCTTAATGACAATTTACAATTTGAATGATATATATTTCCTCATAGAAAAGAAGGTAAAAATGTAGCAGTAAAAAGGTGATGAAAAATTGTATTCCGATACCAGCTTTGCTGTGAGAAAAAAGTATAAAGAGAAGAAGAAAGCGTTTCAATACTACTGGAGGTCTAGCAAAGAATATAGATATAGAAGAATAGACGTATTACATGTATATAAGGAGTATATAATAAAACTTTTCTTTCAACAGATGGATAGATATACCTGTTCCAGATCAAATTGTGTATTGAAAGATGATGTTATACCACTAATGAGGCTCGAAAATGAAAACGAACCAGTCCCGAAGCTAGAATAAATCAAGACATTTTAAATCTAAGCGTGTAATGTATTTCTGTAAGAGGGCAAATGTCTTATTTATCCCTTTTCCTGCCGAAATCCTTAAAAACGTATGCTAGCGTAACAATAAGTTATAAAGCATATTGTAAATTATACAACAAGTCATTAACACTTTGCATAGTAAACGCAGGTTTTGGAAGGTGTTTGTGTAAAGTTAATTTTCCGTATTATGAACGGAGGGAACCAACATCAATTTAATTCAAAGGCAGGTTACTTTAAAACGAGGGAGGGGATTCTGTTATTTCTCGACATTTGACCATAGCATACGCCTTTAAATACTCGTGTAAAGTTTCAATAGTCGGAACAACTAATTATCACTTTGGTGGAATCCATGTAAAATTGTGTAACAGATCAGCCAACAGTAAAGATCCTGGTCAAACAGCATTTATGAGCTTAGCTCACGATGGCAAAAGCTAACGAGTTTCGGGGTCAAGCTTAGTAAGTGTTTACAATTAAAATATAATAGATAAAAGCAAATTATAACTGAACTAAATTAATGAAGATTTATAACACCTTACTGGCATAGTGTAAACTCGGGTTAGTGCTATATAATGTGGAAAGATGTTATGTCTATAAAACAACAACTGATCCTATCATGTTTGCTTGTTTTAAACCTATAACAGAGATGTAGATAACAGAGATATGCTCCATTGAAATATCACTCATGCCAATCAAAAATTGAAAAGTAGGTATTTTGTAGCAAGTTACACATAATGTATGTACATTTGATCCTTTTATAGTATACACATATATATTGCTGCATGGTAAAATATTGGTAATGTTCCATGCCTTTCACTTAGAAAAACATTGCAGAACATTTTTGTCATATGAATAGTTTTGTATAACAAACATTAATAAGTAGTTACCTTAAAAACTGAAGTATCATTAATTTGAATAGAAACTGTAAATGTTTTTACCTGCAGCCATAGAAAAATGCGTAACATTTCAGAAAAGTATTGTTTTACCGATTTTGCTATCTAGTTGAGAAGTGTTACTTGCTACAAGTTTCAAATTTATAAAGCACGCGTGTTATCTCAACCGGCTAGGAAGTTGCTCTGTTATCTATGTCTCTGTCTAAACCTACTGAATTTATGTGCAGTGGAACTCAGTGCTGGGGAAATGCATACCACTTATGTAACCAGCAAGATAAGGGTCCGTGCTTCAGTTGAATAACTGCATAGTTTATATCTGTTACAGAAGCAACGATCTATATGCAAACACCTAATTGCTTTTTATTAAGAATTAAACTGTGAAAAAAATCAAAATATACGCATCACACTAATATGATAACAATGTTTATTCAGTTGCATATGTTAAAAATTACAAAGCTTTTCATCGATTAAGAAAAAAAAAATTGTAATAAGCAATGGTTCAACATTTTGGTTACGAATTTATTACAATATACAGATAAACTGTACATCTTGAGGTATTGCTTATTTCAATTTAAAGTCATGATAATAAGATATAGTCTACAAGAAAGACGATTGCCATTGGCAGTGAAAATGAAGTAAAACTCATACTTATTTTATTTGATTCAGAATTAAAGTAACTACACGTATTAGTTAGAAAAAAAATCAATTGATATTTTTGTAGCAAAAAACTACATTATTGTTTATTCTTCTAGGATGCATTTTGCATAAAAAGATAAAAACGAATAAATGACAAACATAAGCCCATGCAAGGAAAGTCATGCCAAACGTTCGTATTCTATTTCGAATGAATATGAATTCCGATAATAAGGGCTCGTTTTCAATATATTATTTGAATCTAATAAGCACAAGCAATGGTGCCGTGACCAGGATTTATGTTTGGTTAGTTGGCAAAGCCGACTGTAAAGCATTTAATAATTTCAACGATACCTGGACTAACTCAAACTCCGTATTAAAAGATGATAAAATTTCACTTATCAGTTTTTGAAATGCGAACAAGCCAGTTATTCTGTAATTTAGGAGTATTGAATTTAAAATTTCACAAATGTGAAAGACATGTTTGAGTAATTGATATTACTATACTGCTTGATAGTGACAACGTCAAGACATTTATGTTCTTAAGTTACGAGGGTTATCCTGGAATTAATGAGAGTTAATTTGTAACTTTTGATT